ACAAAATTGAACAAAACCTTGAGAAAAGCTGCATCTATTTTGTCACACGGGTTCAATCCCAAAAACATGATCAGAAAAGAATACACAGCAACTGTTCCACTAACGCAACTTGCAGGAGCAATTACACCAGAGAACGAAGAACTCGGCATATAGGTAGTGGCAGGCGAATGCATTCAGCAAATCCCGTTATCTGAGCACACCCGCCTTTGTTTTCTATTTTGGCCCAGGCCTTCTTACGGCATAACATCTGGTTTGGGCAAAAAAGGATCTGTACAACTACAAAAGCTATTCCCCGCTTAGAAAGGTATTGGCGGCAATCGTCAAACTCAACCAATGCTACATCAAACAAAAAATCGCAGCGACCTACCCCTAAGCAAAAAACTGGGCGGGTAAACAATAACAAACACAGTTCCTCTCAGCAAATACAACCAACGCAAAAACATAATCACATCATTGAGTCAACCTCACTCTTTCGACAGTCCTCTCTGCTTGGTCCACCAGCCACCCCTGCACTCCTCATGCTTGTCAAGACTAATACGCAGACAAAAAACTAACATTACGCACATAGCCCACACGGTCCAGTCGGTTCTGGTCCGCACACATGGGGATGGTAGGCTTTCTTCAAAAAATCTTCAAGTTCAAGGGTATCAGAAAGGCCTACCCACCAAACCTTGAAGAGCAACACACCCATCGTCCCCATACACTTCAAAACCAACCCCGCCACATACACATCAATTACGTGAGAAACCGAGCCCCCATGAAAAAAAAAATACGCCAGAACCAAAAGACTAGCAGCCTGAACTCACAAAGGAGGCGTAGTGCAAGTTTCATAACTGGGAACCTGCCTGGCAGCATCAATCAAACCTGTCTCTTAATTCGCTTTAAGTCCCACCATCCTTCAGATCAACCCCCATTCACTTTTTGAACCCTTTGTCCCTCGTGGAAAGCATAGATCACACAGAAAATGACAGAGCTGTAGCACCTGAAATGAAATAACCACGGCCAGCGCCACACCATCAGATCTTTTGGACCATCACTCTTTCTTTTTTGAAAAGTGCTTTTATTTCTTTTCCATATGAGGATGCCATTTCCAGTCTCTCACCTAATTGACCAGAGACTTCCATGGCATCCATCACCCAGTATGGAAACATCTAAAATACAAAAGCTAAGTGAGCACCAACATCAGATCTTTCGGATCATCACTCTAATTCCATCAACTCACACCTACAAACCAACCCGTCCCCCTCTTTAATCAAATCCTCACATCCCCTGCCTTCCTTAAGGCAGCCAACCCAACTCCATCAAAGGGCATCATGAGATTATCCCAACTACTTCCACCTAGCCCTCCCCCGCTCCTTCCCCCTCCTGGGAGTAGTTTTTTAAATGGTTAAGTAACATGTCCAAAGTCATAAGTCTGCATGATTAATAGAGAAATGGGATTTGGAGTAGAGAAATTATACTCCAAATTACCAGAATAGAATTTATGAAAGATTTTACGGGGTTTTCTATTCTTTTTTTCAAGGACAATTATGATGAGAAAATCGTGATTGTTGTCATATTGGAGAGATACAGAGTCAGAGCAGGTTGGTTGACAAAATGAGCTTCTTTTATCACAAATCCGACACTTTACACGGACATTTTTGCAAGGATCAGAGACAATTTTACTCAAATGTTACAAATTTTCAAGCGTTAGATACAAAATATAATTCGCCCTTTTGAATTTTTCCTTACATCTAAATTGTACAAGGCAAGATCTTGGCACCACCCAAACAAAGACAAATGAAAACCATTTGGTATAGCAGCGGTCCTCTTCAGTATTTCTTTTCATTTTCCTCTCGTATTTCATCTCTTTTATTGATGATGAATAGGTATCTTCTAAACTGTTTCTTTCCTGGTAACTATTCTTTGAACAATAAAAACTCTAGTCATCAGAAATTTTATTTCAGTTCTCGTGCCAGGGAACCAATAGGAGTGTACTCTGAGCCAAGGTTTCCTTGAACCATGAGTTGATGATCAGAGTACTTCTTGAAGATCAACAATGAATAGAAAGCTTCTGCTCCCAAACCCCTCCTGGAAAAGTCCATAACACTTACTGTTGCTTTAATAGGATCCACTGTGTACAGTTATAGTTTAAATGGCCTCTGGTAAATGTCAAACTCTTCAGAAGCTGAAAGTAGAGGCTTCTGCATACATTCAGCAAAAAACCCAGTGCCACAGTAATACATGTTAAGAAACTTTTACATGAATAAGAAAAGAGAGTACAACTTTTTGTAACTTTTTATGTGTATAATTTTGCTCTATAATATAGCAATACTTAAGGTTAGGATAATTTTTTTAGTTAACTATAACATAGCAATACTTTTGGTACAGGTAAAGTGTGGTACGGGGATAAGGATATTATTTAGATTCAAATAATCATAATGTTCTCTCTTGTATAGGAATGAAATAACTATAATTATACAAACATAAATATATATAGTATAATAAATTAATAATCCTATATATAATAATTTTCATTAATTTTTATATCAATATTTGTACACACATATGAATGGTTTTTTATATCTGGGGATTTAAGAAATATCAATTTTTTTAACAAACGAATCGATATTTGCACTTATCATTGAGTTAAATTCTCAAATGTAAACCTTTGTATTCATTGTCTACAGTGCATGAGGTAACTTATTTAAAGTTTAAGAGAGGAAGGGCACCTGGACCAAGTTTCCCTAGCTAGGTCCCCTCCGTTTTGTATATATAGGGGATTTCACTCAGTTTTAATGAAAATGACTTTAATCTTCAAAAAGAGAGAGAGAGAGAGATTACCTGTGTGAGATTGGGGCCAAAAATTCTACTCAATATTCTTGAATCACCCAGGCATCCTTGTTTGTTAGCTTCCTCAATTCGCTCATGCATCTTGTCAAGTAATTCACCGTATGTTATCCCTAAGTTTTCTGTGACAACTCCTACTAAAATGAATGTCATTGCACCATTCATTGACTTGGAACTAAAAGCCTGCACAAGTAGTTGACGAACTATTACCGGGAATTGTTTGCTTTAAAAAAAAAACAAATTATTTTTAGAAATTGTAGTCTAAAATCAAATAGGAAGAAAGAATCATGATAAAAGTAATTAGGAATGTCTTACAGATGTGTCAGCGGCAACCTGGTCATCTTCGCAAGCGCTGATACAATACGCTTTTCCACCACTTGTCTGTTTTCTCACACCTGACGGAGGACTGTTATCTATCCACTTTCCCCTGTCATTAACCACCCGGAACAAGAATCTCGAATCTGATTATGTACAATTACTAGCATAACAGCAATCAGTTTTAGGACATTTATAAGTATGTGGAAACTCACTTTTCTCTATCATAGACGTGCTCTAGATCCAGAATAGTTCCACTATGGCAAGCATCAACAATGGCATGAAGCGTGACACCCTCTGTCAGCGGCTTAACAATGGTGGCATAGATGTCATTATCGAGGATCATGCCTTCTCTCAGAAAATCCACCGGGCAGATGGTTTCGTCGAACCCATCACGCTCATCATTATTGAAATCGGGTTGGCGTAAGCCATGTCCCGAGTAGTAGAACACCAGCGAATCTCCTGACCGGCAGTCTTTCACCAGCCATTTCAAGCAATGCTCGATGTTTGCCTTTGTTGGTATAAGTCGGGCATCTGTCTGCTCCTCTGCAGTTTGGTGAATAGACATGGAGCACTGTTAATTATTCAAATTAAGTAATGACTTATCCATTGCTTTTAAAAAGTTAACGGGATGAATTCGGCTTCGTTGATAGTATGAGAAATTGCTTGTAACGTTTCCATAGGTGACAGGACAAGCTCTTTGCTCACTAGAATGACAATCTTTTCCCCCTTTGAATAAGTTGAATACTTAAATTTCATTCCCTGGATGTATTTCCAATGAAAATAAGCTACTCCGAGTTGGTCCATGCCCTCAAAACAACATCATATATAGTTCAACAAGATTTTAATACTGTTGCTATTATATATATATATATATATATATATATATTACATGCTAGAAACCAAACTAAGAAAATAGCTATCCAAATTCCTTTCACTACTCTATTCTATGCGTCAAACAATCATATTCCATTCTCAATCCATTTCATTTCTATAAATCAAATCAGATGTACATCAATATATACTAACAGTTAAATATATATACATGGCATGAGACAATGACACTCATGCACCTCCATTCCTTTTTATCATTATAAAGTAAATTTGATTCGAATTTTAATATATTTTTAATCATCTCACTTTGAAGTTACTAAAAATTTGAGAAAGAACTGGTGTGAATTGGCTTAAACACCTAGAAGAGTATTAATCCATCACAAGCCCCTAAAATTTAACTAATGCCTTGTAACATACATACATGCATACAAATATGTGTGTGTGTGTGTGTATACATATATATATTGATCTTATTATCATAAATGTTCAAAACATTAAAATTTTTTTGTCAAACTTGAGCAAAAAGAATAAATTACTGACGTCCTAATAGGCGGAGTTGAAATTTACATGGTAAAGAAATGTGAATTTAAGTTTTAAAACATGAGAATACAAGTACCTATTAGTGAATCAAATGTTCACATAATACTAAACTATTTGATATCCATATATATCCTAGAAGATATGTTTCAAGTTATATTCGCCATGTTCTCTAAAATATTCTACATTCTCCATCCCAAATTTACTCTGATATGGGTCTCCCCAGCTAATGGTGTGGATATATTGAATTACATCAACCATTGGATAATTACATATACTTCAATCTCAGCTACAATAAGGAATTATGAAGTTTTTTTTCATCTTCTATAAAATGAATGCTTCTTCATTGGGTGAGCTCAAAAATCAATCCATTCGCTAAATGTTAAAGGGAAAAATCATACAGCTGTACGATAAAATTTGTTAAAAGGCAGCTTTATCTGTGACCATTAATGCAAGTTAAAGTACACAACTAGCTAAAACCTGTTGTTGAAATTAGACTTGTATTGAAAATCACATCAGTTCGAGCTATTAACCTTAGGATCATATGTGATTATTTTGTATTAAGATAACTAGCCTTCTGTGAAATCATGATAACTATGCATCTAATGAATGACTTATATGATGATTAGTATGTATTCTTGTACCTAACTACTGTTCAAGGCTTACTTGTTAAGTTTTGCTATGTATATAAACTAAGGCAATACATATCAGAAATATGTAGCCTACTGTTTTAACAAAAACTCTCTTCACCTGCTCTGTTTCATACTTATCCTAGATCTGCTAAAACACAACACCAGTAAGGCTGATGATAAATACCTGTGAGCACTAGAATGTTTTCCTCCCGGTATTCATAGTGTTTAGTCAACAAATCTTTCATATTTAACACATCGTTTATGGTCCCCTTGAGCTTATACTTCCACTTCTTATAACTCACACCGCAAAGAAGTGCACGTTTATTTGCCCGTGTGCCAGTGTAGTCCAAAGCACAAAGCTTAGAGGAAATGGTTGATGACGATGACCCTGAAGCAGCAGCAGGTTTTGGGGTGCTGCCCCGCAGTATTTTCTTCAGCGTTTCCCTTATACAGTTACGTGCCAACGGGGCACTTACCCTGCCATGGTCTCCGGTGGATGATCGTTTCTGTAAAGTTCGATTTGGATTGACCTTACGGCAATGTGGGCAAACAACTGTCTCAGCGCTGGTTGACACTGCAAACTTTTGCCTGCAACGCTGACATACGATTTTAATTTCCATCTGGCCTCTGCAGCATTTACGAGCCTGGAGGCTAAGCAGAAGTGAGCTGCCTGATCGGGAGGTGACTTATTATTTGAAGTCTGAATGGAACATAACAAAACAGAGAGAAAAGGTCCAGACAACGCCAAGGGCCACTTCTACGTCATTCCTTGCTTCTAACTTTATCTTATTATTATGCGCGGATATATATAAAAATACTATATTTACAACTTTAGAATCCAAAATTTAGATATGTAATCTAATCATAATCTCTTATGATTCTTCATTCTATTGGCTGAGTTCAAACTATTTTATTGGCTGATGCCCAAGCCATTAAGATGGTTTGAACCCGACCCTTTGCTATTTTTGTTTGTCTTATTTTAATCCATTAATTCTCACTGTTCAGATGCATGAGTCCAATTTATCTTTATTATAAGGCATAAGATCACACAACAAGAAAAGAGAAAATTATGTCCGCTTGGAGTAAATTTATTAGAAGCTTGATGGTAAATGAAATTACCAAAAGTAAATTCCCTAGGCATCAAAATATGGTTGAGATAGCAGCCGGAGGTTTCATGTTCAAATACTGATCACTTTCCCTGCTTAATTATTTAGTCTGTTAGTTTTCTACAATATTTTTTCCTTTAGAATTATGGGTTAGCCTCCAAACTAATTAAAAAGCTAGTCTTTCTACTTTATATACCCATGATATAATTAATAAGATTGGCTTAAATTATATCAAGACTTTCAGCTAATCATCCTACTCATCATACACTCATGACCTTTTTTAATGGATTGACTTAACTTAGATATTTAGAGACTTTCTCTCTTTCTTTTTCCCTTTTTATTTTTTAAAGACAAGGATAACTTTACGTGGTTTATTCCAATCCTCGTGAATTGAGCCCAAGTTGCTTCACTTTTAATGTTCGATTAACAAATGACGTCCAAGTATTTGGACGAATTAAGACAGACCAAGGTGGATTGAATGTGTAACATTCATGAAACAGTAAAAGCAAAATTCGTTAATTCAATCGAGAGATTATACAAATTAATTAGAGCAGGCTCCTGAAGCATATATACAACCTTAAGGATTTGAAAATCTAAACCAAGATATGAACCCATAGCTTTTGTGATCATCCAATAGAAACTTTAGTGATTGATTTATTTAACCTTTCGGCCACTGATTCATTTCTTTATTCTGCTGAAGAATAAAGAGCAAGAATCAGATGCGTTTTCCTTTCAAACTCTGTGGCTACGACAGAGATGAGATTAACACTCCTGCTTTACTCCTGCTTTGTCTGATTCTTGCTTCCTCTTAGACATAAAGCATACAGTAACAGGTACCTTACTGAAAAATATGTTGGATATTTTCAAATAAATATGATTTCATATCGAAAAGAAGGGTTGTGTCTGTTGAAAATTAAATCACTAGACACTATAAAGAGTCACGTCTGTTGGGAAAAGATCAACAGAAGCAACTCTTTGTAACAGACACAAATAGTGTCTGTTGAGAACAGGCATCTATGCCTATAAAAGATTACGCTCATTATCCATTGAAAAGAAGAAAAAACAACAATATCTCTCAATCTTCTTTTTCAAACATTTTCCAAGTTTTCTTCTATACTATTTTTCCTGCAGAAAAGTATTATAGAAGTTTGATAATCTTGTTATACTCCGGTGAGTGCTCAGTGGATGTATTTCGTCAGTGCAAAACGCCATCAATCATTGGGCTCATTGTATCTTCGAGGTTTATACGCCGGTAACTCTTTGCACACTTAAGTGGGGACGAATAAAACCTTAAGGATAGTGGCATTGATACACTCCTTGAAGCCAATTTCTAAGTTTTTCAGTTTGGTGTTCTAACAATCTTAAGGTTTTAATCTCGTTCCAACAATGGCTGCTGCAAGCGGAACACTAAGAGAATTGGCTTCTGACTTTGTAAAATTAGATCGGGTGATGGCAGTAACTTTCCAAGATGGCAGAAGAAGATGCATTTCCTATTATCACTAAGAGAAAGTTGTTTATGTTTTGACGACACCTAGACCAGAAGAAGGAGAAAATGAATC